ATTTCTTTTTTTTTTTTTTTTCGCGTAGGTCGTTACTCTTTTTGTTTATTGGATGCGGATGTCCAACCTCTCATTGTAATAAATCTTCCTTGCCTGTTTCATCGTCTTTCTGTAGATGCTCCTGTATCCATTATTTAAAGTAGGTAGCACAACACTGGACGATGGAGTTGCAACAAATAAATATTTTCACATTTTAAGGGTAGGTCCTGGGTGTCCAAGTGAAATGTAGGTAGAGCAATCTTGCCCAAACAATAGGGATTCCGTAATTGGGTAGAAACGGCAAAAAATTGAGACGCACACAATAGAAAATGAGCATTTGATTATGATCATTAATGACATAGCCTAATGACGTTATGGTTTGTGTTTGTGTCAAATGTTTGTGTGCCTCTTGTCGGCCATATTTGTGTCACGTGTTTTGGATAGTCTAATACGGAAAGTGTCAGTTAAAAATCGACGAACAATATATTTTATTTGCAACCATATATGTAATCTTGACATTACTGACTTTTTAAAAATTTGGAAGTGTCACTTTACCTGTGTCACTTCCCTCTTCGATTTCCCTATTCGACTTCCCTCACCGATTTCCCTCACTCTAATTTATTTACCTTTGCTGGCAACAATGAGAACATGTCAGGTAAAAACGTCAAAGCAGTGAATGACACATTTTGGCATGTTTGTTTTATTTTTTTAATATTAAAAAAATTAATTGACTAATCATAATTAATGGTGTGCTTGCAAATAATAGTATACAAACCTTGGAGGAAAGTTTTCATTTCTGTCTCGTAAATCTCTCGACAGTAATGAAACACTTCCCTACTCGGTCTGTAATATACTATTTCAAATTTACCTAGTGTGAGTCAGGCTTAACAACAAAAAGTATTTTCTGAAAAACTTGTCAGACAGTTTTTCTCAATATTAAAGCTGAACAAAAGGAAATTTAACATGTTTTGTTTCAGTTGTAAACCATGTTTCTGATGTCACTAACGTGGATCAGGAATGTGATAGCCTTCTCCTGTAGGATGGTTGGCTATACAACAAAGTATATGGACAGTGAAACTTGTAAGCTAACTGAAAAGCTAGCCAATGGTGAGATTGATTTATTTTTGTATTTTGTGCCTAAAAATGCACGTTATGCTATACTAGAAGAATATCACGATGGGCAAGTTCATACTGGACTAAACAAAACTTTATTGAGCATAAGTTTCCAGTTTTGGTTCCCAAGAATGCGCGGTTTCACAAAAAAGTATATTGATGCTTGTTTAACCTGCCTCACCCGAAAACGAACTCCGAGAATATCAAAATCGCAATCCCGTTCCACAACCTCCATACGTGGATTGCTTAGGACCGTTACCAAAAACTGAAGGATTTACTTGTTTATAACGTTTTACGTCTTCCGATTCTCGATTTCCAACCATCTCTATGAATCCAGGCATCCTCCTCTAAGCCTCTGTCTCATTTCTTCGTCCACTCCACTTCTCCAGTTTCTTCTTGGTTTGCCGCGTCTTCTTCTTCCCCCTGGCTTCCACTCAATAATTTGCTTGGGTATCCTTGCATCTGCCATTCTTTGTACATGTCCGAACCAAATCAACTGTTTGTCCTTTATATCATCTATTTTTATTACTATTGTGTGTTTTGCGTCCATAATCACCCTTATTCTCAGATTTGTTATCCTTTCCATTTTTGACCAGCCTGCCGATCTCCTCCAAAAGTCCATTTCAGTTGCTTTCAGCATTTTTGCGGTTCTGTTCTTTAGTGGCCAGACTTCTGAGCTATATGTGACTATGCTTTTGACTATGGTGTTGTATATTCTAGTTTTGTTAGTTTTGTTGATATTTTGGTCCCACAGTACACCATTTAGTAGGGATATTGCCTTGCGTCCTTGTATATTCCGATCTTTAATTGCTTCGTCTAGGATTCCCTCATGTGAGATTTTCATGCCCAAATATTTGTATTCAGTACATTGTTTTATTTCTTGTCCGTTATTCAATTTGAGAGATTGCTGCGTTCGCCTCCTATAGTCATGTGTTCTGTTTTAGTTAGATTTACTTCCAAACTCCATTTCTCGTATTCCTCTATCAGTTTTCGTGTCATGTACTCTAGGTCATCATAGTCCTGGGCAATTACTACTTGATCATCTGCAAAGCTTAAAGTATATAGATTGTATTCATTGAGCGGTATTCCCATGTGTCTGCATTTGTTTTTCCACCCCTTAAGCGCTTGTTCTAAGTATATTTTGAAAAGTGTTGGTGATATGCAGAATCCCTGTTTGAGTCTTTTAGTTACTATAAAGCCTTTACTGATCATGTTTCCCTGTTTAATCTTGGTCTTTGAATCACTATAGAGCGTTTTTACTGCCTTTATTAGTTCTTAATTGATATTGGTCTTTTCCAGTGCTTCCCAAAGCTTTTTCAGCGGAACATTGCCATATGCTTTCTTTAGATCTACAATGAGTAAATGGAGTTCTTGGTTATACGCTAGTTTCTTTTCTATTACCTTGGTCTAACTAAATAAATGGTCTACAGTTGATCTTCCTGCTCTAAAACCGGCCTGTTCTTCTGCCTCACTATCTTTGTACTCGTTCTCCATTCTGGCTTTTAAAAGTTTTCCATACACTCTGCTCAGCGTATTTGTTACTGCAATACCTCGGTGGTTCTCGCATTTGTTTCTGTCTCCTTTCTTATATATCGTTGTTAAATAGCTTCCGGTACTTCATGTTTATCTATGCATGTTTGAAATAGTTTTGTTAAATTTTTGTAAAGTTTGTTGGTCCCATACTTTATCAGTTCTCCATATATTTTCCCTATGGCTTTAAAACTCTAAAAAATTATGATATTGCAGATTGTACAATGGATATCATATATCTTGTGGGTACACCAGCTCGCATAATTACGGATAATGGCACTCGTGTTGTCCAAAAGCATGAGCTCTTAGTAGAGTGGGACATTGAATGGCATTTCATTACTCCCTATGTACATCAAGCAAATGGACAAGTCGAACGCTATGCGTTTTATTGCCAATTTATTATAATAATAATAATAATAATAATAATAAATGCCTTTATTAAAAGTTTTCAAAATTACATTGTACAATCTAGATGAAAACAAGAGTGAAAATGAGTGGCGCAGTCTAGCCAAAAAAGGCTACTCTACTGAACCACACAATTCCACGAAGAGGTTAACATAGTTATATAAGTTAAAATTAACACAAAAAAAAAGAATTAACAAAAGTTTAACAATTACCAAAATAAATGCGTAAGAGTGACTAGGTCGATCTCGATTTCCGTACTGGACGAAAGCAATAGTGTAAAAGAGAGAAAAAGATGAAGAATAAATAATATTCGCTAAATGTTCACTAAGAGTTCTGAAGTTGGAGCAGCAGTTTTTTATATTCTGTTTTAAACTGCTTTTCACTAAGTTTTTTGATATCATCCGGAAGTGAGTTATACAATTTAATAGAGTTATAGGTAAACGATCTCTGAAACATAGCTGTCCTATGGTGAGGCAACGTGAGCATATCAGTAAACCTAATGTCTTGAATGGATACTCAATCGAAAAACAAGTTTCTCTTTGAGTGTTGATGGTACCACAGGGTTTTTTATAACTTTTATCAAGAATGAACCCAAATGTAGAGCTCTACGATTCGACATATATTATTACGTGTTCAAGCTGAAGTTGTAAGGGAATGGAGTACACTTGTGTCACGTATTCAATTAATTATAAACTCAACAGTGCACAAAACCACGAAACGAACGCGACTTCAAACATTATTTAGTTGCGACAATAGTCTACCCGAAATTCACAAAGTTAGGCTAGAAGCGACTGTTCAAGAGGTTAGGATGAAACCGAACAAGGATACAAGTGACAAGTGAGTTCGATTCCGAGGTCGATTCATATGATTAGGGTGGAATTTGAACCTAACCTGAATAAAAGCTTATATTTTGTTTTTTGTTACCTGTTTTGTTGGGCCGAGAGCGTCCCAATGTCAGGTTGGCCGTGTTAGGGCGCTACGCGCTAACTACACTTTCTATAGCGTTTTCGAAAATAGATCTATGTTTTAAGAAATACTGTAATGTGTAACAGTTGGCAACAACAATGACGCATGTCAATGAGTAGTATTTCTGAAGATGCCGTGCAAGGCAGGCGTACTAACTGGAAGTGCCGGAAGTCTCTGCCAGTCTCCATTGATCGGGCATAGAAATAACTTCACGCCTTGCGAGTCGCTGTTGTGTCCTCGATTCTTTTATATTTTTGCTATGAAGTTAGGCTTTATCTTTAAATTAAAATAATAATACAAAAAGCCAACAGGCGGCGGTCTGATATTTGGGACGAGTTGACGAGTATTATTGACAGTGTATCTATATAAAAATTTCATATTTTTGCCGATGACGTGTTCAGTTGCTATGTTTACCCTGGAGTTATGCTTAACCCGGGGGTGACCTGCTATTGAGAAATCGGCCCTAAACACATCTATAATATACAGGGTGTTCCATTTAAAAAATAATATAGTGTAGGCTTATATGTCAGAAAATTGATTGTGTTTTGTTTAATATGTAACTTGAAAAAAAAACTTGGCTACTAGTCCTACATTTTGTTTTTTTTGTTTCCCTTGATATCTTTAAAAACAAAAACAAAAAGTTACAGGTGATCAAAATGATATCAAGAAATAGTGTATACTGACACCTCAGGACTATATAGAGTGTTTTTCAATCCCTCGACAAATTATGAACTTTTTGTCCCGTGAATAAAAGTACCACTTTAGTCCCTAGGTACCTATATAATGTACCTACCTACTATTTCTCGTGCACAACATCTCTTCACATCCAAATTGTATAATCATCTGGGATTATTTCTCGCGGGAAAATAAATAAAGTTCAATTTAATTTGTAAGTTAAAAACTCTCTACTTACATTATGCCACTAGTTGCAAATTCTAAGGTAAAGTTTCATATCTTACCTTATTTTAACTTTATCCTTTATGACTATGAGACACACTTTTTTGTAGGTACCAGGATACTTCAAACGCAGTTCCCTTAATATTCGTATTGAGCACTGGCTCAGATCCTTTTGGATCATTTCAAAGATTTGCAGCCGAGATGGAATACACTGAAAAAGTCAAATCGATTTCGTTGGGTCAAGGGCAAGGACCGGTAGCTGAAAAATTAATTCAAGAAGCTTTAGAAACCGGCGATTGGGTATTTTTACAGGTACTTTACTGGATTTCTAGCAAACAAGCGAACTATCAATTTCTCTTTATAGAATTGTCACTTGGCGACATCCTGGATGCTTTCGCTTGAACGAATTGTATTGCAAATAGCTGAAAGTGCCGCAAAGGTACACAAAGCTTTTAGAATGTACATGAGCTCGATGCCGTCAAAGTCTTTTCCCGTAGCTGTGTTGCAAAATTCTGTTAAGGTAACCAACGAACCACCTAGAGGTCTGAGGGCCAATGTTAAGCGAGCATTCACCGATATGATGGAAGATTTTTTTGAGCAGCATCGTAAGAATTTTGGTTTATATTATAAAGAAGCTAAACCAGCTGAATTGTTTTTATAGCCTTACAACTAAAATGGAGAACTATATTATTTGGCATTTGTATGTTCCATGCAGTGGTACAAGAAAGAAAGAAATTTGGTCCACTAGGTTGGAATATTATTTATGAATTTAACGACAGCGATCGAGATTTTGCATTTAACACGTTCAAAATGTTTTGTGCTGACGGTTACATACCCTGGGATGCTTTGGAATATCTCACAGGCGAAATAACTTATGGCGGTAGAGTCACCGACTATTGGGATCTGCGATGCCTCAAAACCATTTTGAAAATATTTTTCGCACCTCATACCTTGGCAAAGGACTATAAGTATTCTTCTTCTGGTACTTATTACTGTCCGGATTTTAGTAAACTTCAAGAGTATCGCAACTTTATTGATAAATATCCTTTAATTGAGGAACCTGAGATATTTGGTATGCACGAAAATGCAAATATAGCTTACCAGGTTAGTATTTTTATTCTAAATATTCTGTTTTTCTCCACTTTCTCCACTGAGTCCAATTTTGTTGATAGCAAATTATTTTGTGAAAACTTCGTAGTCGTTTTCAATATGTAGGAATGAAGCAAAGCTAAAACTTGGAGGCGTTTATAATTGCTATAGCTTTGATTGATATACATTCAAAAATAAAACAGATTTCTCAAATTTAGTCACAATAAACAGGAAATCAATTTCACTGGCCCATTTGAACTCCCATTGGTTCGACTTTACGACACACACTCGATAACTTCCGTTACTTTGGTCTAGCTTATTGTAAACATGTTTAGATAAAAGAAACACACATGGTCATCAAAACAATCATGGAAAGTCAACCCAGATCAGAGGTAGGCGGAGAAGGCAAATCCAGCGACGAAATCGTTTATGAATTGGCCGAACATGTCATGGAAGTGATAATAACCAAAATTAACATGGAGGAAGTAAACATTAATTTGTTTAAGGTAAAGTCTAAGTAAAAAAAAATCTGAAATTTTAAGTTTATAAATATTTTTCAGAAAGATGATAAGGGTCGTTTACCATCTTTAACAACTGTTCTATCCCAAGAAATCGATCGATATAATCAGCTATTAAAACTCATCCACTCCTCGATGGATCAGCTGAAGAAGGCTATCAAAGGTTTGGTAGTGATGTCCGAAGCTTTAGAAGACGTGTATAAAGCTTTTATGAATAATCAGGTAGGAGTTTTTGGATATTGAAAGAAAGGATAATTCCAGGCTTTTCATATAACTTTAATAAACAAGGTTGTATTTTGAAGGTACCAAAAATGTGGTCTGCGAGAGCCTACAACTCGTTAAAGAGTTTAGGTAGTTGGGTTCGAGATCTAACGTTAAGACTGGATTTTATAAGTGTAAGTTTTCCTTAACAAAAATTAAGGCCTTCGATGATAAATTTCCTTTAGATATGGGTTAGGTCAGGTCACCCGACCTCCTACTGGATTTCCGGCTTTTATTTTCCTCAAGGGTTTCTCACAGGAGCCTTGCAAACGCACGCCAGAAAATATAATTTGCCTATTGATAAGCTGAAATTTGATTTTCTGATTAAACAAGTGAACTTGGATCAGGAAGAGATTAAAGCCGTACATGATGCCGAAGGAAAAGAGGTAGGTTCCTATAATAAATTTAAATTTTAGTTCGCTCGCTACATAGCTGATTCGGGCCAAACGCCTACTTAACCCTTGCTTATTTTATGTCTGAATCTTGCATCTTTTTTTTTTTATCGGATCACTAGGTACCTACCTGTAACGGAATATCCATATTCTTTTAGCGATAGGTGAAAAGAAATGTATATCTATCTGTTCAAATTCGATACGTTGTAATTTTAAGTTTAATATTAAAAAAAAATATGTCCATAGTTTATTTTTTCCTAAGATGGATTTTGACATTGTCAACTTTGAAACATAAACAATGCCGCTTATTGGTCGCAAGATGCCATTTGCACGACATGAATTGTAAAACTGATGTCAACCTGCAGGGACACCTAATTTTGCGATCAATCAGGGTCAAGCGGTATTGTGTATGTTTCAAAGTTTTCAATGTCAAAATCCATCTTGGGAAAAAATACACCATAGTAAAAACAGTCCAATTGCGACATCAAATCTCATTGATTCTTATGACAAAAACAGATAGAGTTTTTTTTCTCGAAAACTGTTACAGATAAACCTATCGGACTTTACGTCATTGGAAACAGCAAAAGCAGAGCTATTCAATGCGTTATTAATATACAGGGTGTCTCATTTGAAAAAAAAAATATATATATATATATTTCGTTTATAATTTAAAAACTATCACTTCTAAAGAAAAACTGATTACACCCCTGGAATCTACGTAGAAAAGTCTATAAGAAACCGTTACCACCTTTTTGACCACTTATAAGAGAGCCGAGATAAAAGGGGTGTCCCAAAATGCAATCTTTTCAAAAACACCTGGTATCTGAAAAACAAAAAGGACGATAAAAATTCTGTTGACATCTTTTGTTTGACAAAAAAGCAGTCAAAATTCGCGAAAACCGCATCCTTCAGACTCCAATAGTATCCAACCGAGTTATCCCTTATGTACAACCAGCGCTTCTGTACTTGGAGTTTTTTGGCGCGTGAATAACCGAGTGTATTTTTAACCTCAAAAAGTGTCATTGGTTATAGGGCATTCCAACGAACTGTCAAAAATGGTGGCTGTCAAAAGTTAGCCAGGGCAGGCAAATGTTAAAGTGCGGAAAAATATTGGTAAAACGCCTGCATTTTGTTGTGTAGTGAAATGAAGTAGTAGGGGAGAACGCGAGTTATAGACATGAACCAATACGTAAACTGCCAATACCAGGAATATACAGGATGTCCCACGGTGGATGGCGTATAAGACGTTTATGGAGAACTAAAAAGCGGATCATTTTGACAATTTGGCAACCGGGATAAACGACCATGATCTATACTTTAAAAATATTTTTGTTTATGCAGTGTTGCCGCTTCTACTCTAAACTAGTGGCAACATCGCTATTTTAAATGGAACACCCTTTATGTGATTGCATATTTGCATTCTACGTAAAATTCTGAGCACATCTCATGTAGAAAAAATGGTTTTTACTACAACTGTCAAAAAATGATGATGTTCGCACACTCATGACAGTTTGCGAAGTGACACTTTTTTTCCCAGTTATTGATTTTTTAACGTTCCCATGACGCCGTGCGCGAACTAGCTATTTCGCACACTAGTGCGCGAAATAGCTAGTTCGCACCCTGGTGTCATGGTGACACATACCTGTCAGGAAACCAATAGTTATTTTTGTATCTAGCAGTGCGCGAAACGCTACTTTGGTGATCGAGAACTGACTTTTTTAACGAGGCGCAGTCGAGTTAAGAGGGGCGTTTAAATAAAATGTCATTTACAGACCTTCACTAATTTCTGTTCAATTCCAAATTTAGGCCACTTTTCAGTGAAATGAAGCTATGTTCATAACAATAATAGATTGGAGTATCGTTCGAAGCATTTTTGGTTGCAAAATACGCATTCTAATTAGTAAAATTATTACCATTTTGTTGACAACAATATGCAAATTTTGGTCACGGATTTAAATAAAAAAGGGATAAACATATAGAGTAGCACACCAACAATAAATGTCCAAAATTTCGGATAGTAAAATGCTGGAAAAAATGAATAGAACAGAATTTTCGAAAATTATAATGTTTGTATCACAAAATTAATCAAAATCTGCCAAACAACGAGGTGATTGCTGTCATTTTCAGCAAAGACTCAAACCAAACGTGTGTTCAGCGCTTCTCTAAAAGATGTCGCTGAGTTGGGGAAGGATAGTAACTTCTTTTAAACGCCAGTAGAAACTGTTTCACCTAGCTAAAAATGTGAAATACTATTATTTTATTTGTATCTGAATAAAATTATTTAGTCCACTGTAAATTACTGTGTAAACGAATTGATATTGAAGATGTCGCCATCTACTTGTAAATAAGTCAATCACTTCAGAGAATTTGAAAACCTGTGATTGAAAAATATTTAATGTATGTCATAAAGCCCAAAAGATGGCGCGCTGGCTCTTATCTGACGCCCCTCACCAAAGTATTTCGCTCACGAGTTGCAAACAATATTTTCTACAACTCCATTTAAATATCAATGATTGGAAGCTAACATTGCATTAACAATCAAAGACAGGTGAATTTTAATTATTTTTGGTTTCCTGTCAGGTGCCAGGTATTTATTACCTGAGTGTGCGAACTAGGCATTTCGCACACTGGAAAATCATTTCGATTGTCATTTTAGTTTTAAAACGACATTCTTTTAAACACTGAGTGCGTAAAAGTTACTTTTAAGCACTCAGTGCGTAAAAGTGACTTTTGAATGCGTAAAAGTGACTTTTGAATGCGTAAAAGTGACTTTTGAGTGCGTAAAAGTAATTTTTAAGCACTAGTGCCTAAAAGTGTCATTCATTATTCAGAAATAAAAAACACACTAAACACAGATTTGAATTTTGTTTTGTATTTATTATGAATATTAAAAATGTAATTATTGAATTGAACGTTTGAGTTACTCAAAACAGAACTTTGTGTTGTTACCTACTTTCTGGGATTTTAATTATTGATGTCGAATCTTGAAAAAAAAAATCGCATGAAAAGTGTCAGGTGTCAAGCAAAAGCAGGTAACAAAGATTTTGGGCGTAATCGACTTATTCACATGAAATAAAATTGTGTTTTTTAATTATAAAATGCCAGTAGAAAAAATCTTGTATACAATAGGTTACGAAATGATGTCTTTTAGTCTCTTAACGATTAATATTATATTAGGTGTTTCGTCATCAAGCCCTGTGTCATCACCCGATCAATGAACTTTTTCTTAGACAAGGCTAGCATGTTAATTAATTTGATGATATATGGCATTCTTGAACCAATAATGTCTTCGACCTCGATAAATCAGTATATTACGACATAATTAGTCGATTTTTTGAGCTAAAAATGATATAAATTTCAAGGAAATTGCATCATTCTTTTTAATAATAATGAGGTCGACCAATGGAATTCGGATTGCCACGCAAACGACCGCCTATATTGACGATTTGGGGGATAATTAATAATATTTTGCGGGGAGATCGAATTGATATAAAAACCGCGGAAAGAGTTGCCATTAAACAGTTGCCACTTAAACACAGTCCAGTCCAGTTTGAGGTAAAGTCTGCCCAGTTTCGCGAAAAGTTCTTTTATGGCGTTTGGCCTCGGGTATAATTTGACTTAGAAAAGTAGCGGAAAGTTTTGAAATAAAGTAATAACATTTGAAATTCGTTCAGTAATTTATGTGCGTGCTAGCTAAATATTTTGAGTAATTAATTAAGTAATTTTACGTGTGTTTTATGGATAGAATGTAAGTACTCTATAGTGACAAGACTTATTTTTGATGAACATGACTTTGTGTGATTAAACTTTGAATTTTACTTCAGCGATTTTGACTAGTAAAAACATTCTGACTTTTATCAATGATTCTGAGAGATAAGAAGTGAATCAACAATTGACTTTCATTGCATAAAAACAAACTGAGTGATTATTACTAGAAAACTTTTGATGTTAATCACGGTGGAACTTTACTACAATAAACTTAATAACTTGAGTGTTTTATAAAGGAAATATTGTCGCATAACTTAATTACCTTCAGATATAATGACATTTAATAGTGAAAAGAAATTAAGAAGGAACGTTATAATGCATTTAACAGAACATGAACAGTTTTGATTTGAGTAGAAGTTTGAACTGGTTCGTCCTCTTTAAAAAAAAAAATTAAGGGCTATAATATCGAACTCATAAGAATTTAAATAACCTTGTATATTAGCCAGGGATGGCGAGAAATTGTAATTGTTTTAATTAAATAGAATAGGAAATCTTGAAAAATAGAATTGTCTTAATATATTGGAAAGCTGTCAAAGAAATTTTATGATAGTAATTTGGTCTGTTGAAAAGGAAATGGGATGTGTAGAAAAGAAACTTGTGTTTGAAATTAGATTGTTGACGATTATCATTCAATATAATGGAGAGGTTAGTTTAAGAACTGTTTTCATTCAGGAGATAAAACTTCTAACGATTATCATTAGACGTATTGAGAAGTTGTATTTGAAATTTGTTATTCATGAAGAGACATTGATGATTTTAAAGGCAAAACTATTAAATTAGGGATTTTATTTTTCAAGTTATAGCAAGATTTTATGAGAATAAATTAGTTGATAAACAAATAGGTAATTATTTTGGGTTTTCATAAGTAAAGGACTTAGAGATATTAAGGAATTATTTGATTAGGTAAAGGATAGTTATTAGGAATGATTCGGATGTAGTAAAATGAGTTAAATTATAATTTTGAGAAATAGTATGAATAGGGCGTTTCTTATTTAGTAGGGATATTTCAGTGGTCCGTAAAATAACAATATAGAACGGATGTGAAGTATTGACTTTATAGAACTAAAAAGGATGTAAAGTATTGGAAGATATTTGGCTGATTGGTTTTTGGGTTTTATGTGAAATAAAATATAATTTAGTACACCTCATTAGTTTGTTTCTCTCTCTTGCAAATAGACCCTCCTCCACAGATTTTAGATAGCAAACTCCAAGTATATGAACACCAT